TGATGGAAGAGCACTTTTTTGCGCACCAATCTCGCTTCAATGCTATCACTATTTCATGGAAATTTACCAAACTTATCAAATGATCCACGTACATACATATATAGGATCTATTCTACGATAAGAATATGATGTAGTATTATATTATAATTTAATAACTCGATTCTACAAGTGTTAAAAAAAACATTTTTTGATTGTTAAAATTCTTTTTAATTAGCAAATTCTTTCGATTAATCAAAATGCTTCGAAGCATTTATAGCATCAAGTGGACCACTCTAAGTCATAAATCGCAAGAAATCGATCAATTAGTCGAATGTGAGGAAAATGATCGACTACGATTGAGTTTCTTACAGCTTATGGCTTACTATGTAATATTAGTACTTTCCAATTGCTTTTCTATTACGTTCTCGTGCATACGGCGACACTAGTTGTCCGTTATCGTTGATACAACATTACATATCTATACTCAGCCAAGAGCTATGTAAGCTTGTGTTTTTTAGTGACAATTACATGTTGTTACTAACTGTGGCGGTTGTAAATGAAGTTTAAGAACATTGAGTGGTCGACATTTTTAATTTTTTTTATTTAATACAGACGGAAAAATTATATTTAACTCTAAAACGGATTTCAATCGTGCTACACTTTGTGCATTTCTGTGTATGTTTGTGTTAAGATGTGTTAAACAATTGGAAAGTATCCATAACTTTCATTAAAGACAGCCTTATAAGAATCTAGATGTGGAGTGTATTCATTTTTCACGCTCATGCTCTTAAGGTCTTTCATGTTTGACGCTCATTTTTAGCATCGTAAAAGGTCACGTGATAAAAATTGAATATTAATTTTGATAATTTATTTTGATAATTTATTTTGACGCTAAAAATAAGCACTTAGCATCAACTTAAAAAGGAATCTTTAAGTGCTTGTAAACATGGCTCGTATTGTTCGTTTGCTAATCATAAGTACTCAGAATGTTTATATTACATTCAGCAGAGAAGACAGCTCTGCAACTGTTGCAAAATTTTTTAATATCATTGATTTGTACATTTAGATCCAGTGAGCAATTAAAGCGATTATATATTAAATTTTATATCAGTTATAAAGCTGTTTTCTCTGCTGAATGCAGCTTTTCTAAGTACTTTTAAGTACTAAAATAAAAGATATGAACCATATTTATAAACGCTTAAAGATGCCTTTTCAGGCTGCCGCTAGGCGCTCATTTCTAATGTCAAAATAGGTGATCAAAAAATGAATATTCAATTTTTGTAACCAATATAAAAAAGCACTTATTACGTCATCATAATGTCATAGTTACTTTTTCGAATAATGGCTGAATTGATTAAGTTTTTACGTATATTCAATCGATAATTTCCATTTGGATTGCATAATAAAAAATACTTTTATTTTTATTTTTTTTTACTGTGTGGTCTGATAGTATACATGTCTCTAGTTTACATATATATTTCCGCATAAATTAGATTTTTTTTGTATAACAGAAAATATATTTTTCCAACACGTTATAATTTTGCGAATATTTTTAGCCGGTTGGAACAGCAGCTGTAAATTTCGGTCACCAAAGTGGGGAATATAATATGGAGTTAATTATTGGTGATGCTGTGATCAGCAATCCGTTTCAGTTCAATATTGGCACAGTAACTCTTAAATTTCCCGAGCCGACTTCAATTGAAGGGGCTGATAAGAACATCTCTTATAAACAAAAACCGAATGTGTATACAACCAAACCAGAAATAAAGGTAATTTTTGATTTATATACATATATACATATATACAATACATATATATACTTGATATAAGCCAATGCTCGTTAGTGACAAAATCATTTATAATTTTGTCACTTCTAAAACATTGGCAAAGAATTACGTCAAAGTTAGTATAACATTCGCAAAAGTAGCATTTGCGCAATAGTTTTTATTTTCTTTGATGAACATCGATATTTGTTTGAGAAATTGAAGCTGTTATCAAAGTGTTTTTCTGAACTCTTGTTACTTTCAAATTTCAGCATATGTTCCGCGAGCCTGAACGTAGACCTCCGGCATTTGTGTCAAATTTATTCACGGGATTGTGCTTAGCACCAGTTTTACTATTGTTGATTTTATGGGCTAGACTCGGTGTTAACATCTCGAACTTCCCCTTATCTCTCAGCGCGATTACATTCCATCTTGGATTAGGAGGTAAATATCATTTCATTGATAGAGTGCATTTAATATATAATTAGATTTCCATGCATATTTTTTAGGTAGGAAAATAAAATTAAATAAGATCTTGTTTCATCAAAACAGCAATCTAATATAATACACATAATAAGCATGCGCGCGCGCGTGTCATTTACTTCTTCAATATACTTATCTCTCTGACACTTAATAATATAAATTCTTCTTCTTTATCACAAACTCCGAATCTATTCAAAAAATTTTCCTTTTATAACTTTGAATGCTTCTGTCCTTCTGTTCACTTTTATCTTCCTTGGTTTTTGTGCTTATCCCTTTTTCTCTCTTCATCTTCTTGGTTCTTTTCTCTAGCCGTCTGAAAGAGGGTATTAAAAAAGTATCGATTTTCATTCTCAAGATACATCTGAATAGACTTTGAAAAATCATTGTTTGAGTTCTTAAAAAGCAGGAAACAACAGGAAATAACTTTCTCTTCACATAAGAGAAATGAAAACATTTCTAGAATTGTTTAAATATAATAAAAAATAATAATGACAATACTGATAATATTATCGTATGATTAATATTGATGGATTGACGTAGAATACTGATAGTAATCTGGATTTTTAGTCTCGAGTATTGAATAAGTATATATACTAACTAAATTAAATAAGAATAATACTAACAGTATGTATCAATATTTTCAATATTTTTACGACCTTATATCAGTATTATTGACAATACATTTCATTTTACGTACAATATTTATTTGCACTGTAACATGGATTCTAATAAAACGATTCTGATGTTGAAGAATCAAAATCTGGATCATCGATATTTCTACGTTAATTTATCAATATTAATCACACACACAATATAATATTGTCAGTATTTGTTGATACTAATGGTATTATTGACCGTGTAATGTCGTCTTAACTTTTAGCCTGCTAGCATTTTTTCATTAAAATAGTGATTTTTTTTTTTCCCAAAAATTTTGCTATATAAGTAACATACATATGGCGCAAAATTTCGAGATTTGTGCAGAGCCACAAAAGTGGTTTTCCTGGCAATACGATCAAAGATTTAAAAAATTAGTTAATTTTTTTAAAAATATTATATTGGGGGTTTTTGATATCGCTGATTCCAATTCTGGACATAGATTTATAAAATTTCGAACCCTAAGCGCAATATTGACAACATAAATGAATATAACGTATAGATTCAGAACTTTCCTTTAACATTATCCAGAGCTAACGACATGGACATAGAAGGTTTATAGCTCCTTTTTGATTTTCTTTTTTTTTTTTATTTTTGAATTTCGATTTTTTTTACTTTTTTCTTGTTTTATATTTTTTTATATTTTTTAATTTTTTGTATATTTTTAAATATATATTTTTTATACATTTTATAATTTTTATTTTTTAATACATGTACGCATATATGTATAATACATTTAATATTTAAAATACCATTAAAAATAGTGATATTTTAACCCAAACTTAAGATCCACAAAAGTGGCTTTTCCGGCAGTCTAAAGATTAAAATCAAATTAAAATCTTGGACACAATGCGAGAGAATAGCGATAGAATACCACGATTTCAACCTATCAGAAACTGTACATTTCGATGTATAGCTAATAGGTTGGAATTGTATTCTCTTGCTATCACTATTCTCTCTTTATGTTTGGAACTTTATTCTTATAATCCGCTTTATTGACTATCTTTGCTTCCAATTTTTCGTTGTTGCCTCAATCTATTCTCACAAATCTCTATCTCTCTCTAACTTTTCCAAATACCTCTTATTCTCTAATAATCTTCGTATAAGCTACACACTCATTCATTCTCGCGTCACTTAACAACTAAAACCCTTGTATTAGCTAATAAATTTAATTTAAAAATAGTACAATAACGAATATATAATATATAATAAAAAATATGCCCTATATATTGCTTGGCAGATGATGTTATATAGTCTATCTGTTTTCATTGGGCGCACAGTATGCCGTGATGTTTTTCTCGAATGTGATTATGTTCTTCACATTTGTAATCAATTCACTACAGAAATTATTTATATTTACCACATTGCATCACAATACAGTATGAATAACTATAATTGTTTTATTTTCAGGCATCTTCGTACTCTTCGGTATTTTCTGGTTAAAGCTTAATATGTTCGTCACGCTGCAATATCTTCTTGGTTTTGGTATTGTTACATTCCTCACTGGTAATAAGATGCTATCTCAAATAGCACACAGGCACAAATCATTACGTTAATTTATATTCTATTGTGTGAAAATTCTGTCGCAGTTGCAGTTAAAGTGCATAATAAATACAAGACTATTATCGATAAGTTCAGAATGATCAATCGACTCGTTAACATGACGAAATCATTGTATTGCACTGTTTTTTCACTTATCAAATGTGTATAAATTATGTAACATGTATATTGTTTATTTTGTTTATTACATGCTTCATTTTACAATAATTTAGATTAAACGAAGTTTATATTTTATATCAGTGTTAATAATTAGAGATAGTATTGATAAACTGAAATTATATTTCCACATCTAGGACTCTTGAACTATAAAATTTGATATTAGCATTAAATTATTTTTATTGGTATAGTGTTACATTTTATACAATATAATAATGAAACATAGTAATGAAACTTCATCGTGTATAATATCGATAAGAGTAAGTAAATTAAAAAATGCTAAAATCTTGCATTTGTATCTAGAACAAATAATGTTTTTTTCTAGTCATGTAAAATTTTAAATATAATAAAAAATATCAGCATGATTGTTGATTATCCAACATAATGTAAAATAGGTTACGAATCAGTACCTATATTAAAACAAATTGGTATAATTCATTTGTTATTGAGGCAATAGTTAACTAAATTATTTATACCTTTTTTTATTCTTTTCACTTACTCTTTCTGCGTAATGTAAAAACTGATACATTCGCGCAAGTGTCTCGCTTCAGCCTTCAATTTATCCCTCTTCGATCGCAATTGCATGGTAGTCATTTGCACAACACTAAATTGCCGCCAAAAATTTGTCATATCTTGAAAATCTATAATCTGTTGTAAATTCCTTATGAAAAAGGCTTTCTTTTAAAAATTCAAGAACTCTATTACATATTTGTGTATATACCTGACGGGACACATTCCAGTCTGATAGGGCAATGATTTGATACGGCGAGAGCACTTGTGAGCTTTCCGTATGATTAATGAACGGAATTATTTTCTCGTTTTGTAATTCATATTTACGACAGATTTGCATCAACGTAAGCAAACGTTTGCCTTTAATTACAAGAAATTCTAAATGTTTTATCATCTTGTTATATTTAATCGACAATATCTTCAAGTGATTTTTATCTTTCGTCTGTTCTAAAATTATTTTATATATCTCAATATGAAATTGTCAAAAATTGTATTTATTATTATTATTATCAGTAATTATTATATTTCGATTTAATAGTCTATAAAATAATATAGAATATAAAATAAGATGTAACGATAATATTATTGTTGTATAACAATTTCTTCCGTGCAATTAAAATTATAATATATATTTAATATAAATATAAATATAAATTTTATAAATATCCAGTTGAAATCAAACAAAGTTTAACAAAAAAGCGCACCTGAGAGAAGACGATTTTTTAAAATACAGGAAGTTTTCTGGAAGAAGTCGTGTTCCGTCAAAATTTTAGAAATATTTTTCTTGGCCATAGAATCATATGTCGTTATTTTATCTTGAAACTTTCGTATATCTTCGAAAAGACTCGCTGTATGTAATAATTGTTGTGCTATTACTTGCTGATCTTTCTCGTCCTTATTTTTAAGCATGTCGTAAGATTTTCCGTGAGCCTTTGTTTCTAGAACAATGTAATATTAATCAATATTAATTTATCTAATTTGCATTTGATAGATGCAGTTGTATATTTGCAGTTGTATATTTGCAGTGTGAACTCCAAAACTTTCAAAAAAATGTTATAAAAATTCATTTATTTGATTAAAATTATATTTTCTAATGAAGAACTAAATTTTATTTAAATTTGTTTTCCAACAAAATAATATCAATAAAATGTATATAATTTATAAGTAATTTTATTTAATATTTTAATAAAAAATATTTAGTATTAAATATAAACACACACACACACACACATATTAAAGATTCATTATATAAAGACAAAATATATTAATGCTCCTAATCGTCGTGAACATATAGAGATATTCTAAGTAATCGTCGTGAACATGTAGGTAGAGATGTGATTTTCAAAATTGTGCATTGTGATTGCAATCTTTCTCAAATGTAAGGATATATCGGGTATCTGAGAAATATTCGCTATCCGACTTTATTCGGTCTTTTTCTACTAACCGGCTAGATAGCCGGATATCATTAGTATCTGGCAATATATGTTCGATCGAAATTTTATATTGAAAGTTTGCATCATTGATGTAAAATTCTTTCTTTTTAATTGAAATTCTTGCTTATTCATCTTGCCTCTTTTTTTTTCACGTTAGGGAGATAAAGAAAATATTATTGTCCATACAGCACAGAATTTGCAGCACTTTCGTTGCAAAATCTACAATATTGCTGCAATGTTACAGCAGTGTTGTCGCAACTTTGTGCTACAGGGATTGTATTTTTCTCTTTCATTCCTTTTTTTTTAGAATAGAATGGAGAAATTATACCTTATTATGAAAAATATCTGATATCTGACCGGACAATTGCCCTATTGAATATCCAATCGAATATCATTCTTTTCGGATATCCGATATCTGATATGCGGCAATTTTACGATCCGGTACATCCCTATTTAAAAATTACAGTGAATGCGATATATCGTGATTTTTAATGTGTATATTACAGTCTGGGAGATGACACATTTTTCATCTTTATTACCGCTTTAAAACGGTTAGTAGCTACATTCAGCAGAGAAAGTAGCTTTGCAACTGTTGTAAAATTTTTCAATATGATTGGTTTATACATTTACATCTATGAACATTTACATAACGAACAAAAGAAATTAATCATATTGAAGAATTTTACAACAGTTGTAAAGCCGCTTTCTCTGCTGTACGTAGCCATTAATTCGTATGACATTTACATAGGTGGCAAATGTAAAGGAAACGCAAAGCAGATCTACGGTTTTACAATTGATGACACATGATTGAAGTCTCATAAAAAATTTTTTACTTTTTTCCTAATATGTTATCGTAATATATTACATTTATTTCTATGATATTTTACACTTGATATTTTACATTTAAAAGATATTTTACATTTAAAAAACCAATCGAAAAAGTAGGTGCCATATTACTTCCGTGCGCCGAATGAGAGGCATCATATTAACCTGCTAAGTCATAAATTTTTTTTAGTAAAAAAATGAATTTGTTATTAGCTAATTTTTGTACACTATTTTCATTACGAAACATGCAAAAATCCAAATATCATACATATGTTTAGACTTTTTTTATTTAGATTATTTTTATTTTTATTGAATTTTTCTCTTTTATTTTTATTGTAAAAAACATACGACTTACTTGACTTTATATGAATTTTTTATGGTTATATAAAATATTTTTCTTTTTGATAAAAGACCACATAAGTAATTTTTAATTCTTCTTCTGTTAGAGCATACAATAATAATATAATTAAAGAATTAAATATTTTATTTGTATTGGGTCATCCGGAAAATTCGTGCCAATGTTGAAGTAAAATTGAAACGCAGAAAATTTTAATTTAATAAATATATACTAAAATTTAAATTTTAGTCGGCACGAACTTTCCGAACCCAATAGTAACTGTATCCTTTAAAAAGAATGTCTTAAAAAGAAATAACTAAAATTTATGTTATGATATATAAATAATATTTTTCCTTTTCAAAATGAAATGAGGAAAAATCTGTAAAAATGGAATTCATTTTTAGAGAAACCTTCCCTCAAAAAATAATCTACAATATGCCCATAATATACGCGTTGTGAGTGAGACAGAACAACAATGTAAAAAATAAATTAAAGATGTTCACCATTATCTACTTTTTTGATTTGGAATTTTAAAAATCTATCTGTACTATCAACATCGCTCAAGTTCGGTCGTCACTCCAGTATCCCCATATGAAGGTTCCTGAGTAGTCTCTGCAGTCGTACTGAATCGTAACATTATGAGCAAATAATCACATTAATTTTTGTTACATGTCATTTGTAAATAAAGAATTTAGATAAACGAAATGAGAGATGAGATCGCTTTAAAATACCTTTTAATAGTCTGTAAATAGTATGAAAGGCAGATGAATAAATGGTCATAAATAGTCATAAAAGGCACATGAATCATAAATGTTTTCTTACCATTTTGATAATCTGACAGAATTCGTCGAAGATTTTCCCAGGATTTTTGTAACTGATTTTCAAGTTGTGTCACAGAAATTCTGCGTACATTCTTACTGTCTTCCACGAATGAACTAATCTTACCTTCCAAGATACAATTTTAATATCAACCAAAAATTAATTGTATTAAAAATTTACGTTATTTATTATATATTTTAATAACAATAAATAATAGAAATAATTATTTTAAGAAATAATTGTTTTAGGAACTTCTTTAATTCATAAAATAAAACATAGATTTACTTAAGACATAGAGACACTTAAGCACATATGCTGAGAATGGTCCGAAACGTCCAGAAGTTATTAAATTTTATATATATATATTATATATATATATATTTTTATCATTGGTTATATTTGCGCAAATTCAAAGTACCAGCGCTGACTCCTGAATGTCTCATGAATCTATGTCTTATTTTATATATTTTATTTTATAAAAATATTAAAATGTTATAATTTTTGTGTCCATTTTCAGTAAACAAATTTATACCTATTGTTAGTAAATATGTAGATTAGAGGAGCGTCCCCAATGACCTTAACATTGATATACGTTGTCAAGGTCATGATCCCGAATGATCTTGGAAGTTTTTCGAACTTGTTAAAAAGTTATAAATAAAAAAAGGTTTAAGAAATAATGTTTAATTTTTGCTATATAAAACAAAAATTTTCAGCTTTAAAAACGACTTTCACGCGGAGCGATTTTCACCTTAATATATGATCTTCCCCCCTGTCAAGGGAGCGTGAAAAAATCCTGCGCATATATTAGGTTATTCAAAATGGGACACTCTATATATAATATAGAATTGCAAGCAAGCGAAATTCTGATAAAATTATACAAGATTAATAACGATATACTTAAGGTGATGCTTTTAACATTGTTCGATAATTCTTCTAAATATTTGTGAACGCCGTGAATGATTGATTGTAACAAGACTTCGTTTTGCTGATAATAAATTTTGCCAACTCCTATGTCCGTCTGAATAAGTATTTCGTCTAAGATCCTTCGATAATTTCTTTCTTTGTTCTGTATTCTTTCTTTATACGATATTAAAAATCGATCTATAATTTCAGTATGTGATTTTATAATTCTTTGATATTGTTCTTCGGCTTCGGTCAATTCGTCCATTAAAAAGCTTATTCTAGAAAAGATCAAATAATTATAAAAATATTTTTATAAGCTGTATAAATTTCCTATGGAAAAATATCGAAATTCTCGTCAAGGAATGAAATATTAAAATTAAAATTTTATTTTTTTAAGACTTTATCATATTTAGAATTAATCTATTAATATTATTCAATTATTTTTGCTTCCAAAAATAGTATAAATAAATTATATAAAATCTTAGTAACTATTTTATAATAGGAGCAATAGACATAGTAAAATAATCTATACTATAGGAAAATCTCTTTAAGAATGAAATATTCTTTAATTGTTATTCAAATCTTATTCGATGAAGATAAAACTCTTTGAATGTACTAAATAAATTTTGTCAATTGGTCAATTGAGAGAGAGAGAGAGAGAGAGAGAGAGAGAGAGAGAGAGAGAGAGAGAGAGAGAGAGAG